AGACATTCCGAAATACACTATTCCAAAATATTTGGGGTGGCAAAAGTAATATAATTTTAAATTTAATTTATTTATTTGGAAATGGTTTCTTGGTGCTTTTAATTGATGCTCGCATCTTCCATTCAGGAATACATTAGCCTTTTTACTTTCTCGCCTTACTACGTATTATTACATCGTACTAAAGAGAAGCCGTTGTCATGATGGAGCAAAAATCGGCGATTTGTCGACAGTAAAACTCATTTTGTGAAACCCTGATATCGAAAAAGTGGGTTCATCTTGTTCCTTATACGCACCGACAAAGATGGCTCAGGGCATCAACCGATGTCACTGCAGTGCCTCTGACCGGGCAGTCCTTGATTCGAGTCCCGGCGGTGGTAGGATTTTCGGCTCTAGCTTGTCGGCTAGGTCGAATACAGCCGCTGTCGGGAGGAGAATTCTCGCTGCCGGCTGCTCAGATCAGTAATTTTCCGTGGTTTCTCCGATCAACTTCAAGTGGATGCCGGAGTACTACTCTACCAAACTGGCCACGGACCGTGCGCGATCGTAGTTTGGCGCCGAATCTCGCCATCCAACGGGGGATGAAGACTGTCACCTTCCGCGATAAAAAACGTGCACTACACTTACGAAACCAGAGACCTTAGCCGTTGACGCGCCCGGAATCACTGATTAATCAATCATTTTTCCTTGATGTAGTAAATGACACATTGTGGAGTTAGAATCCATATTTTGTGGGTCCTTGATACCGAAAAATTGATGGATGGCAAGAAGTGTCCGTCCATCCAGCGCTAGCGCCTAGAAGTTTAGATATTGATTTCCCCGATCAAGGTGGACGAACTCGTGACTCTGTGATTCTGCAACTTCGATTTCCACCTCAGTATACTTTCTCTTAACGTAGTTAAGCAAGAAATTAAAAATGACTTTTTCGGTATTAGTGGAGCTGATATCCATATGGTGAATATAAGTACAGAATGTCCGTTGAAAACTCAAAACTTATTTTCCACAGAACTACAAAAATAAAAAACATTGTAATAAAAGATATGTTTATTTTTTAACAAAAATCTATGATGAACCCCATCCAAAAGGATCGGCTGGATCCGCCCCTGAGAAAGTAAAAGTATCGCCTTCATTTCTTATCGCTAATCCCCTCTCAATAATTAATATGATCTTTCGTTGTTCTTGAATTCACTTTTATACGTGCAGCCTTGTAGTAAGATAAAGCTGTTCACAATGTTTTTGCAAATATTTCATTTATGTAAACAACTAGGCCTATTGCTTCATCCACGCAAATCAGTTCAACTTTGCACAAAACATCGGCACTGCAAAACAATCGATTAAGTTTTCGCTATCGACCGTTGAACATATCGGAGGGTAATTCGAAAGTGCGTCGTCTCGCTGCTGAAACTTTTTTGTTGGTTGATTTAGAATTTTGCAAGGTATTTCTTAAGTATTTAAGATATATGGAATTCTTGATTGGATTTCTATTACACATGTCATTAAATCTTATTCTCTGTAAAATTGGTTCGTGATGTAATATTATTAATCCACGAATTTTGTAATTCTCATGATAGCCAATGCTTAAGAAATTGCTAACAACTTATAGAGAAATATGAACTCAAGAAATATACTTGATATCGTTTTATATCTTCTGAATGAAGATATTTTTAAGGAAGTTTTACAAGCAGAAATAAAATATATCTCTACAATGTATCCATTTTTAAGTACTCATCAAGTTCATGGAAAGGCACTTGGAGCTATGGGAATCAAAACCCCAATAGGAAAAATCCCTAAGTACATATGTTTATAAAATTCCAATAAATTTTTAATGTCAATTACATAATTTACAATACTGTTTTTGTTTCAGAGTTTCAAAACTTTTACCTTTCGTTTATAAAAGAAAAATTCAGGAACCTATTCAAACATGGATTCGTCAGTATATAGAACGAATTTTCCAACCAGTAATATTTTTAGCTGTGAAAATGAACTGTGTTAAAAAGAATGAATGTTCACTTAAAACTTTAAAGTTTCCAAATATTTCAAAAAATAAGAGTTTTGATCACTGTAAGGAATATTATAAGTTGAAAATAAATTGTAACCATTTTGTTAAAGTAATATTAAAGTACAAACATTAATATAAATTAAAACTAAAATTTGTTCATATTTAATTTTAGCTGATTATGATGAAATTTTTGACGAAGAAATAGATAATACTTGTTCAGTGACTACAACTATTCCACTTACAAATGAGAAAGAACCAAAATTCAAAAGAAATACCTTCACAGCAAAGAAAATTTGTACTAAATCAAGTGAATCTAATGCCACGATTATGTGGCCATTCCAAACTGCCCCACCATTACATGAAAACACTGAATTGAGGAAACCACTAAGTGCAATTTCTATAGATTCTTTGAAATTCAATATATCAAATGTAAAAAAGATAAGAGGGAAGAAATATTCACAACAAAGTAAAAATATTGAAAACAGGGATAAACCTGAAATACTGACCAGAACAAACATGAATAAAGAAAACTATGAGTCTCAAAAGCAGGTTGTTTCTAGCAGAGAAAGTGATAATGATTCATTGGTAAGTTTTTTAAATACTTAACTTACAATAATGACATAGCATTTTTGAGAACTATCTATCACAAAAATCTTGGTCATTTAACAGTTCCAATGAGTACAAAATCAACTAGCTAATTAATATATTTTTCCTCTATTACTTAATAATGCAGTAATGAATTTTTAGTAAATTTAATATTTAATAATTTTCTCAAATTTCTCTGATATGTTTCACCACATTATGTTACTATTATTTGAAATTATTAGAACATAAAATAACTTCTCAGAATTCACAGTTTGGAAATATCAAACTAGAAGTGAAATAATTCATTAATTAAAAAATCAAATCTAATAAATAATTTTCACTCATAAGATTAGGAAAAGAGAATTGTTTTCATACGTTCTCAGAATGTTTGTAATATTTTAGACATGCTCTTTATTATCTGATGTGGTTTGTTATCTAAATCATGGCCAAACAATAATTTATATAAAATAGCGATGCATCAGATGCAATGTGGAAAAAAGATCCAAGAAAAGCCATCTGAAGAATTTTATTTTTATTTTTATTGTTAAAAAAGTAAGTGTCTCATTCCACTGATGTTATACACTTCAGCATTCCTTCATCAGGAAAACTAATTTGTTTCATTATTTTTATGATATTTTCTTTATCAATAGAAAGCTTATTACAGAAATTCAAAAGTCACCAAAAGAAAAATATTTTAATAAGACTGATATACCATTGGAATCTCTCTCTTAACATAAATGTGTAGTCTTTCAATCATCAATCAACTTTTTGAATAATATCAGTTTTTTGTAGTAACTTTTATGTTACATGGACTAATTAAAGGACAAAATCCTTTTTTGTATTGTTACAGCCAATACCAGAAGTTACTATTGTAAGGGAAAAGTCAACCACAAATGAAATGGGCTTTCTTACTGATTTATTCACTCCGGCAAAACGTAAAAGGTAGGTTATTTTTTATACAAAATATCTTGAATTGCATAAGTTAAAATTTTAGTATCTCCATTGGCACACATATTCTTCCTACTTCTCTAAGCACCCAGCTTGTGCTTTTATTTACTACTAATTTACAATTAGTTGAATTTACTAATTAAATTGAATTTGCAAAAATTGAGGTTTAAAAAGTTATGTATAAGGCAGCAGTAAATGCAAACAAAAATTTAACAACTTATCAATATAATTGTTAGAAAACAATTTGAAATTAGCAGAACTCTGAAAACGTTGTTCTGTCCTTCCTCTCTCTCTTTCTCCATCCCTCTCTGTCTGTGTGTGTGCGTGTATGAGTCTCTCTCTGTCCCTGTCCCCCCCTTCCTCCATGTTTCAGTCTCTCTGTTTGTTTTTCTCTTTGCATCTCCATCTCTCTCCCTCTCTTATGCGTGCTGCTTTCCTGAGCCTCACCATGCTTCACATGGCAACAATGAAGCCCAGGTGGAGCGCAGATTGAACAGAAATTGAATGAAAATGAAGCGCAATTTTGTTCTACAAAAAAAACATGTATGTGCCAACTTTCATGGAGATTGTTTACATGGAATCAGAGTTTACCACTCTTATATACAACACCCATTTTTATATATACAGATTAACAAAGAAATATTGATGTTTCACATCAATAAAATATTACTGTTATTAAGAAGTTTCATAACTTTTATTTCTAAGATGCAATAAAATATATATCATTATTTCTTGAAGAATTCAATTCAAAGTTAAAAATCATTTTTTTCTCTCTTGTGTAGTCTTTATAAAACTGAAATGTTATTTGCTTACAGAAATTGTGAAAAAACCTTTGTTTCAGGCTGTTCCCACACAATGTAATACCGATCATAAAATATCAATCTACGACAAAGGTTACTAGAGAAGAAATTTGAAATGTTTTCATAATTGGCAAAATATTTGGATTTTTTTGTTTCAATAACACAATTCTCACTTGCTTTCAATTTATTTATTTGTTTCACTTAATAACAGCCATTTGAATTCTGTCTTTAATAAAGAACTGTCTTCTACATTTCACACTGAACTGAAATACATGTACTATTTAAGTTAATTCCAAATTTAGCAGTATTATTGTGAGACAAAGACTATTATTAAAGCTCTTGAATTTAACACACACTAATAGAAAATGAAGGTAAGTATGTTTTCCTTCCTGGCAAGAGTTTCCAAACAGAATATTTGCAAATTTGTTTTGATTAACAGCTTTATAAAATGTTTTTATAAGCATAATACAAAAGGAAAATAATTTGAAGTAGTCAAGTGTTTGTTAATGTAAATTCAAAAGGTAATTTACATTATTTAGTTGCTAAGAAAGTTCACATAACAGATTAATAACTAGTTATGTTTACAAAGTTTAATTAAACTAACCTTTTTTGTGTCTCTTGATACTTTGTTATTTTCTGTTGGAAATATAACTTCAATGAATACAATGTTTTTATTGACAAGAATATTTATTCAATAAGAAAATTTAAAAAAAAAAAAGTCATTTCAAATAACTGAAAGATAAAAAACAGAAATTACAGAGGTGAAAAAGATAAAGGCAAAAAATCATACGATTTGAGATGAGGCATAATATTATCAACATAATTTTTAAATCTAATTGTACATAAATATTTTTCTTCTGAAATACACATTAGTTTTACAATAATGTAATATGAATATCTTATTTGAATTTGAAAAACTCCTTTTTTGTGCTCTTTATTCTTAATAGATTTTTTACAATTGACATAACATATCTGTAACTCATTGACATAGTTAGGTATTTAAATATAAAATCATTTGACATTACAAGAAAAAAATAATTTTGTTTTCAAATGCAAACATTTCCAGATTTAAAAAAATCTATTTCTTATCACTTGTTCAATATTGATAGTTTTTGTGTAAAGAAATAAATTGTTTTGACTAAAAGAAAGGAAAAACATGAAGTCCAAGTTTTGCATAACTGATTTCCCAACACAATTTCACTTTTTTGATGAACCAAAACCAGAAAATCCCATTATAGATGCTAGTTCTGATTCTTGTTCTTGGGGTTCTGGATCATCTTCAAGTTTCCGTTTTCGTTCTTTCCTCTTCTCTTTACGATATTCTTTCAATTTCTCCTCCTGGTAAAAGAGACATTCAAAGTCCAGTAACTTTACACAAATTTCATTTAAGAATTTGCAGTCAGTTTAAAAAAATTATAATTCATGTAGCGTCTGTTTAATAGAGGTCAATTTTTTTAAACTATAAACACAAAATTAAATTAAATAGTATAAAACAAGAAAGTAATTTTCCCTTGTAATGTAACAAATTAATTATTGGATAGCAATGTCATCAATGCCATAAAAGGCAGAATGTTGAATGGTTTATGAGAAACTCCTTGAGAATATTCAGGGTTATGAAACTTGCAGTAGTGCATCAGGCAGCGCTATTTCACTTGTTACATTCAAAAAATTATAGATGTTACGCTTACAATTAGTTCTAGACATGAATGACTAAGAAAAACAACAAGAACATCTGAATATTGAGTATTGTCAATGAGGGAAACACTGTTGCTAATTCAGTTTTGTAAAATATTTATTCCTGCTCATTTTCATGTACAAATAAAATAGAACATCCAACAAACTTTTAGGGTAAATATTAACTTTCATTAAAAAACATTTAATGAAAATTAATATGCAAGAAATAAAATTGATTGCATGATAGAAGTTCTAAGTCAAGTTAAGGCCAAATTTAGTTGAATATACTGTTAGTTTAGTTAAATACCTAATTTTATTTTAGTGGAAAGACTGCAGACAAGTGTGCCTCCTTAATGAAAAAAATGATGGAAAATATAATTTGTCAAATTTCGTAAGTCACATAAGAACCATTTACAATATTTAGTCAGGGTAAATATTCTTAGGACAAATTAGCACCTTTTACCCAGCAACAGATATAATGTTTTTGCAGATGACAAAACTATACTTCTACTTATGTGTAGTTTTGCAGTATCAATTACTTGCTGTGGAGTTGTGTGAGTGGCTATTACATAAAACAAAACCTTAAGACAGCAAACATTTTTCAAGTTACTACTCATCAAAAATGCTTGAATAATACAATTCTTATTTTCTCCAAACTAAGATTCATGACTTAAGAACTTTTACTTTGTGACCACAGCAATATTTAACAAAACCAAATTAGTGACAATGTTTGCCTCTCCTACCATTCCCACTACTTTGCTGATTTGTTATTTTTTCAAGACATTTACTTTCATGTACTGCCAACCTAGAACTAAATAGAAATCTCTCTGGTGTTTCTTCAAAATGGTGGTAAATGATGGATTGCTATACTAAGAGTCTAGTTAAAAACTGTATAAAGTTGTTTAAACTCCCACTTAGTGCTGCTCAGGAGAGGGGAAAATTCACAGTGGAGGGTTAGTTATTGGATTTCAAGAGGAAGTCAGTGGTCCTCTTTCGGAAGGCAGGAAATGTGAGCAATACACATAACATGACATATAATTATAATAAGCAAGGTGGGGGAAGTTTCACTGGTGAAGTTACTGTGAGACAGCCTCACCAGCAAAACCATTCACACCAATTCTGTGGCCGATAAAAATAAGTTTTTAAAATTAAACTACTACAATAATTATACTTCGTGATGGGTTACTTTCTTCGCTACATCATTTCAAGTCCTAGAACATGTTGGTCTTCTGTCTGTTGAAGCAAAAGTTACATAGCGGCATATTTGCAGTTTAATTTTGATTTTTTTGTATAGGTTCGGGTAGTTGTCAAAGTGGTTAGCTAAGTTTCTGACAAATAGTTATATTTCTTGTGCTCTTCTAATTCTTTGTCAATTGTTTACATAGCGTTGATAAGAATAAATACGGGTCTTTGTATGTGTAGCCAAAAGAGGTGTTGGCTGCGATTAAGTGGATTCATAACAATGGTTTGATTGTGTCAGGGTTTATGTGTACAATGGGCAAATGTGCTATGACGTTAGCCAAGTGAAATGAGTTGTGTGATAGATTCGAGAGGAAGTGTAGTAAGAAAGAGGTAATTCTTATGAGTAAGTGTTCTGTGCAAAACAGGATGTGGTTTGTGAGAAGCAAAAATAAATATGAGAGAATCTTGCCTTTCCTTATGGAAACTCAACCTGATATGAAACACAAAAAAATCACACTTTGATAAATTGTATTTATTTAATTCTGTGCACTTTTTGTAATGTTAGGAGGCAGGCTTAAGGACACACTAGACACTCCATCTACCACCTCCCATTCCAAGCTCCCCCTCCACCACTCGCTTGACAGGGGTTTCTACATGTACTGTGTTTTCTGGTTTCTACTTTCAACAAGAAAACAATAAAGGGAGAATCAAATTATAACATTAACGATAATATTAAAAATCCAATTACTTTTATCTGAAGCCATTTCAACGTATGCCAGTTACCTTGGAGAGCCTCTTCCCCAAATGCATAAATAACAATTTATCAAACTGTCATGTTAAAAGAGGGGAAAACTGGTGAATGAATGTATGTATGGAAAATGTGTTACTATGTAAGGCTTCAGGATCCCATTCAAAATGTTCAATGCTTATGAAAACAAGGTTACACACAGAAGTTCAAACCACCTGTCTGCATCACACTTTTTATCAGAGTATTTTTTAATTGACATACCTCTTCTCGTAATTCTTTCATTCTTTGTTCAATGTCATAATCCTTCTTCTTTTCTTCAAGTTTCTTTTTGTTCACTTCAAAACGTTTTTTAACTTGGTCCAAAGAAGATCTCTCAACTCTCATTGACATACCCAAATTCCGCTGATCTAGAAATAAAAATGACAAGCATGATTTATAAATCAATTAATACAGCCTTATAAAATATTTAACATTGGTCTTAACTCTCCCATTTTCCCACAACTGGAGTTGGTTATAAACTACTAGAATTGTTCACACCCTAAAAGTACAATCTGACACACACGGAACAAGAAGTCCAACTTGAAGAAATGTAACTGAAATTTATAAATGACAAACAACCATCCATACTTACGTTTTTTTCCATTGATGTGATCAAGAAAATTGATGGAATCTTTAACAACACAGTCACAAACATTGCAGTAATAGCTGAAACCAATTAAAGAGGAATATAACAAACAAGATCAAATGGAAACAGTCTGTTGTATATAATAACCAAGAAAGTAACTTGAGATAACATACCCGCCTGTCTGTGAAGAGGGGGTGTTTTTGGTTATCACAACACTCTTTCCTAATTTGGATTCTAAATCAACACGATAATCTCTTTGTCGCAATAATTCTCGCTTAACAGGGGGTTGTTTCTGTTTAGCTTTTTCTTGAGCTTCCAATTCTTCTTGAATTCTGGTTGCAGCAAGTCTTTCATATTCATCTCTATCCCACTTTCTTCTGTGATCTTCAGGTCTCTGAAAATATTTAAATTTCATCCCAATTCAATTACAGTTGTAATCCAAGCTTAAATGGTTCGGGAAGATCTCTCACAAAAGCAGAGAACAATATGTAAATCAAAACTGACGTATATTTCTAAATAAAAAGGTTCCTGTCAATTGAGTGAAATAAAACAAATCTTGTTTACATTATAGAATTTACTTTCAATTAATAACAGTTAAAATAACAAGAGGTAACACTGAGCTAAAAAGTTACGTTGATGTGCATTTTTACAAAACTGAGAACCAAGATGTTATAAACAAACTCACAACATGCTCAAAACATTTTTATGAGCCATTCAGTAACTCACCTCCTTGGACGCCATATTTACAAACACTAACGCGACAGATGACGACACAGCAAAACGAATGCATGACGACCACATGTAAAGTAGCTAATCAAAATAATCATTATTTAATACCATCAATCTCATTAAATAACGCAGAAAAATCATTTAAAATAAAGTTTAAAAATAATAAACAAATAATATATGATAAGTACAAGTATTATACATGTCATTTGTGAAGAAAGAAATAGTTCGCGTGGGGAACGTGGTGAAATGATGGAAAGAGATTCCATTGCCAATCAACATTTGAGAACGGAGTGGACGTGGGAGGTAGATCAGGCTGTGTGGGAGAATTCTAGGCGATCATAGTGGCTGATGAAGTGGAACAGGTTATTTGTGATGGCAACACGGTGATGGTAAATAAATTGTGTTCTGGCAGTTGAAATTGTGCGAGTGATAATAGCAGCACTGCTGTCAGTGATGTATTGAATAAAGGATGTGATTGTTATTGAAGCCAGAAAAAATATTTAGGTGTACCTTTATCAGCTATCATGAGAATGCTCTTCTCTGATGCTGATAACACACTTCGCATTCTGCCAGTGTTCTCGCTTTGGAGATAAAATAGTGGCAATGACAACTGCGTGGGAATTGGCCTTTGACATCTCGACTCGTTTTTGCACGCTTCAGAACAATGGTGGAATTTAAATTATTATAACGTGATATGAGTTGGATTCGAAACAGCCCCTTGCGGGGCAGTTTTGGGAATCGACGACGGCCGTCCAGTAATTCACCTCCCAAGGATTGCGATCCTACCGCATGTTTCAATAGCTTCAGGGAGCACTGGTTGCAGACCAGTGCCATTATTGACAGAACTCAGGTATTTATATATTATTTGTTACAAACGCTTCAAATGATGATAAGTCATGAGATTGGTAATAATTATTTAATGTTTAACTGTAAACATTCATTTCATTGTCAGAAAACAAAGCAATAGGGAAATATTATTTCTCTAATAAGAATATTGTAAAATGAATTGGATTTTACAATAAAAGAAAGATTTCTTTCTAATATAAAGTTTGTTTTGCAATGTGTGATTCCCATTATTTGTACAAACTGATCACTATATTTATTTGTCTGAGTTAGAATTGAATTTAATACTGTTTCATAAGATAATTAATAGAAGTTTTTCTTTGAGTCATATATTTGAAAAAGGTTTTTCATTTAGTTTAATTGTTAGAAATGTTTTTAGAAAGTTATTAATTTTGAATATGTTATTACGTGAACCTCTGCCACTTCAGTCATAAAATATAATAGCGTACGCTATTTTTATTTTGTAACTTGTAGGCATTTGATTCCAAAACAAGAAATGTAATATCATATGCAGACAACTGATCTTAATAAACTCAGAACTCTTAGTTTTATCATTGTTTTTGTTTGATGTTGTTTTATGCATTTAAGGAGGATAGGTAATTGTTCTTGCATGTTATAGTAAAAACCTTGTTTTTGACATTTTTTGCTGCAGCCTCCAGAGAGTTTCCCCATTCAAGATGATGTGCTAGCTGTGGTGAATCACTTGGATCAGATGGTGACTCTGCTTCTCTTAGAGTTACGATCCACTGCTACATCCAGTCCTGAGTTTCAGTCACAGCACCAATGTTTGGATTTCCTGCTGTGTGAAAACCTCCTGGAACGCCTTTTTGATTGGAGTGTGCACACTGGACGTTATTGCAATCTTCTACGCATGGAACAGCTTAAACTATACGAGTTACTTGCTTGTCAGGTAGAACCTTTATGTTCATTTGTTTATTTATAAAGATACTTCTTCTAAGATGAATTAAAAGAAATAATTTAACCTATCAAAGAAAAGGAAAGAGCTTGATTAATTTTTTTGTGATCTCTCATTATTTTTAACTTTAATTCAACTTAAGTTTTAGACATAATTTTATATAATGGAAAAAAAAAATGTATAAAACATATTTTGGGTAACATTATTAATTGTATTTCTAATGTCAACAAGAAGTAATAGAATGAAGTGAGCACTGTAAATTATAAATGAAGAAATTATTACTATATTAATACTAAAAATAAAGTATATTATTAATTTCTTTCTGTTACTTCGTGTTCGCATTTTACATACAATTAACCAATTTCTAACCAGCCTCATCATTTGAGAAAGCACCATTTCTAACCATTTTCAACTTACTTTTATTTCTTCTGCCCTAAATTGTGAACAAGGTATCCTCAATAGACATATCCTAAATGGACTATATAAACCAGTTTTGAAATTTCTCTATGCAAAATGTAAATTTTGCCAAAATTGGTAAATCATTGTAAAATTCTGGCTAGGGAATATTCATAACTTGCAATTGTTTGAATTGTCTTTTAAAACTCAGCTTAGTTGCAGTATGTCTGTGATTAAGTTGAAGGTGAGGGCAGTGTAAAGCTGGTATGGTGGTTAGTCCATACCTAAGCTGATGCGTATGCACATGTGGGGAAGATAAAATTATTTACTACTTTTTATAGAAAAAAATTGTGTGCCATGTAAGCCAATTTTGAAATTTCTTAATGCTAAATGTTGATTTAGCTGAATTTGTTTAAGTGTTCTACGCATCTGACAAGGGAATATTCATTACTTGTTATTGTTTGAATCTTCTCCTAAATCTGCGCTTAGCTGCTATGTATCTAAGGTTAAGCAACATAATTCGACAGTGAAAGTTGTGAACGGATACTACTGTATAGCTCCAACAATGCTCCTTTTGCAGCTGCTTGAGTGCAATGTCACAGGAAGTGCATGACATGCAGAAAAATTAATTTGAGTACTAATAGGCTACTAATATTAATTATTGTACTAAGTAGATCCACTGAAATTGGAAGAATAATACATGAAAACTAGTTCTGGCTGTTATGTTTTATTGAAATTATTAAAACATTTGTATTGCAGTTGAATTATTTCTTTCAATTCATCTGTCTGTATATCACAACTGCCACCATAAATTTTATTAACAATTCTGTTATTTGCATAACAATGTTAAAACCCTTTGTGACATGGAATGTAGAGTAATTCTCCTTGAACTGAGTCACATGTCTAGTCATGACTCATTACGACTTGACCTTTTATTTTTGACCTCTGCTTTTCACTCTATCAGCTAGGGGCACAGTACCATTTGAACCTGATGTTCCCAGACAGTCATCCATTCAGGGACCCACAGTATCTCAAGCTATTTAACTACTTTGACTTTTTTCCCCCCTCTCTCCACATTGGGATTCGATCTCAGGTTCTTAGGTTCAGCAAGGCATTACTCCGACTCCACTAGTCCCACAGCTAAACTCAATTCTCAATCTTTCCAATACTTTAAAAACTAAGTTGTTCATTTTTATTTGTAATTTTTTTAAATATAGAGAGTTCACCAAGAAAGGGTCCTACATCATTTTATAACCATATTTCACTCTATTCGAGAAAAAAACTGTAGCTTTTATTGAGATTTTTTCTTTACTTCAAGCAGAAATCACACAAAAATACTGATAATAAAAAAAAAAACATTATACATGACCTAATTTTTGAAGAATAATTTCACTAAGAAAAAAATGTCTTGTCTTCAATATTGTAGTAGTGTGGGAAGACACTGATAAAATTTTTAATTTTTATAATTTCAAAAATTCAGAGAATTGAATGAAAATTGGACCTGTGCCATTTTTATTAGACTACTTTGCTCTATCTGAGAAAAAAAATTGGAAATGTTTTTGGAATAAATTTGAAACTGCCCTTGAGGCTTTTTGTAAAGTACCTCCACAGATCAAAATATCCATTTCAAATTCTAGGGGCTGTGGCATCAGGCAGATTGATGTGGGAATATATATTCGGTGAAAATCCTACTTACAGTTTAGTCTCTAGTTATTGTTGTTGACAAATAGACATTTGGCTGTACCAATTTTGTGGTTTGAAGGCCCCACAAAATGATTCTGACTACTTGTAAGAGGAAGTTATTTAATGTATATAGGAACAAGAATTATCAACTTTTCTGGTAACAGGGACCCACAAAATAAGTTTTTCTGTCAAAAAATTGTCGTGTTAGCTGGAGCATTACAATACTTTTTCTAATTTACAGAAGGGTGTGTATGAAAGTAAAATATATTTGTGATTTGAGAACCAAGAGAAATGTTAATGTATGTATCATCAGTTGGTGTGAGTAATACTTTGCTCTAGATTGTGTATCATTTTATTAATATATGGCTCTTTTGATTAGTTTTAGTTTCAATGCAATTAAAATTTTTTTTCTAATTGAAATGGTGCAATTAGCACTATCTAGGTGAAGTTATGAATTTCTAACTTACAAATTTCTAACAAATGCCATAGTAGACATTTGCAGAAAGTGGGGTTAAAGTCCCTTGACACAATAGGTGGTACAGTTGCAAATACATGCGAATGCAGGCTCGTCAGCAGCTGCTGTTGCATCAACCATTCTTGCGTCCACTGCTGCGACTTCTGGCTTCATGCCTGGGGGAGGTGTTCTCTACTGATGTGGAGGACCGGCTGGTTGTGCTGCTCAACCAGCTATGCGTGTGCCTCATGCACAACACAGAGCTGCTGCAGCTGTTCTTCCATGCTGATGCCCCAGACCAAGGCCCTGCCAGGTACAGTTACTACAGTTAGTAGGACCACTAACTTTACTGAGTAGTAAAATTTGTGGTGCTACAAAAGTATATATTTTCTAATATTATTGGTAATATACTGAACTCTTCAGCCATCACTTGAAAAAATTTTAACCAAATGGAGCACAAGAAAGAAAAATGCATGTCTGAATGTGTTTTGTCTTAAGTTTTTCAAAACTGAAAAAATTAAAATGGTGTTTTATGATTGAATTGAAATTCTTACAAAAAAATTTAAAGAATAAATGGAAAGAAACATTTTTAATCATGCTAATTGTTGGGGATGTGAAATATATGCTCAATTGTCCAAACCAATTTTACGCTATGGACAATCCTATTGTATACTGTGGTATAATTTATTTATAATGTTCCTGTGAACATACACATTTCAGTTGAAATTATGGAAAAATTACTAATAATTTCTGAAGAGTGTTTATAAAATAATTTGAAGATCTAACTTCGGTTTTAAAGTTAATTTTTAACTTTACATAAACTAATAAATCTCACATTTCGGTATTAAAGATGAAAAAAAGTTTTTAAAAAAATGGAAGTTTTGCAATTTTTAAAATTCTAGAGGTTTTAGTGAAAGTAGAACCCACACTATATTTTGAAGTAAATTTTACTTCATTTGAACCCTATAATTAAAGACTATTTGGAGCCATTTTTGAGAAAATTTTAAAATCATGTTAAGCCCCCTCTCCATTTAAATATCTGATTCAAATTTTCAGGGCTTGAATGCAGCTAGGTTGATTTGGGAGTATTAATGATTGTGAAAATCTTATGATGATGATGTAGGGTCAGATTGGTCAGACATTCTGAGAAAACCCACGCTTTTGTGTCCAGGCCCCTCAAAACATGAATTCCGACAACACTACAAATTTGAAAAAGGAATTTTCTTCTTATGAGAGAAAGGAAAATAGTCTTTTTCGATATCAGGAACCCATCATTGTGAATTTTTCTGTGAAATAATTGCCAGTTTTTCCTGCAACGTTACATTCTCCATACTACGTATATGAGATAGTAAAAGCCTTAAAGGCTGAGCTAGTATTGTAAGATGTAGGGAAACATTCTTGCAAACTCTTGTCTTCTCTTGGCCCAATCACCTGTCGAAGAGTTGGTGGGTGGGTGGGTGTGGGAGTAATTGGGGGTTAGGCAACTGTGAACTGAGGTTGCATGATTGCCACCCTATGTGTGTGGTAGAAGCATCCAGTCTTCTAATGCCACATTCTGCTGCCAAAAACACCAAGTGCACAATGTGGGTGTGGGAGTGATTAGGGGTTAGGCAACAGTGAACTGAAGTCGCATGATTGCCACCCTATGTGTGTACATGAGAAGCCTTTCAGAAAGTTTTGAAAATTCCTCCAATTTTTTTCTTTAAAATTTGGCAATAGGAGAAAAAGCACTTTTAAAAATGGTTCACGTTTAATTTTCACTATTAACTTTAAATTTTTGAAAATTGCAAAATTTTAAAATATTTTGGGTTCCTTTATGAAACTACTTTATTCAAGTTAGAAATTTTTTCTCAGTAAAATGTTTATTAATAATTCTACTCATACACCTTCCCCCTCCTCCTGGCCTTGCCCCTTCAGCGACATGGCACTTTTCCCCACCTGGCAGTCCATACCCTATTCACATTAGTAACATGGACTAGTGTGGTCCAAACTTAACATTGTCCAAAAATGAAACTTAATTTTAACCATTTTAACATTTTAAGGATTTTTCCTTTTGAAATGGCCTACAGATAGTTTGAAGTATATTGGGGGCATTTTATTATTTGTTTATACTTTATATGTAATTCAGGAATGCCATTGCCTGTACTTCGTGCATTTTATGTATACATGGTTTAATGTTGTCAACAATAATTTATTTAATAATGTTTTGTTTAACTCGTGGTGTTTTACATCTGTTATGGTTATTAGTTCTGTTTTTATAGTTTTTTACAAAGTTTATAATTTTTAATGTGGTGTATTTATGTTTCGGTAAATCATATCCTGGAAAATGATGCCGGAAGAGGCCTTAAAACTTTGGTTTACAAAATTATAACAATAAATGTTAAAATAAAACAGAAACTACTGTCTAAAAATAAGTCTGTGGAATTACCGTTAACTAACTAATTTTGGTGAAAGCACAAAGATGGGGTCAAGGAATACCACAGGGAAATATGAAAAGGTACTTTATCAAGATAGCCCTGCACAGTGTTCAGGAAGCTTGAAGATACTCCTCACTGGGAATGTCCTTAGAGGATCAGTGGGTACCACACAGTGGGTAGGTCTTTTAAACACTGAGAAATAAAAGCTGGGATGAGGTGGGGGAAAGCCCAAAAAGCTGCCCAAGCTAAATTTTGGATTTTTTTTTAGATTCGTGAAATTTGTATATATCTATTTTAGAAGTTAACATTATGTAAAAATGTTGTCTCTTCTCATAAGAAGAAATATGTAATAAATAACTAATCTTTATTTGTTTTTGTCTGATATTTGTGTGTTTGGCAGATTCATCATTTTTTCCCTCTTGATCCCTTTCGTGCACCGTGAAGGTGCTGTGGGGCAGCAGGCTCGGGATGCTCTTCTCTTGTGCATGACTCTTTCGAAGCAACATGAAGGTGTGGGGCGATACATTGCCCAGGAATCCAACGTATGCCTTGTAAGTATGTGAATATATACAATAATTCCCACTCAATAGTAGTGTAGCCATAATTCATCCAAGTCAATTTGTCTCTTCAAAAAAATTTATTTTATTTTGTATCTCATTTAAAGTACAAAAAAAAAATAGGATTTTTTAATATGACCTTTAACATGTGTCGCTGAGAGGTGGAAGAAATTTGATTTTAAAATGAATAGATTTTGATATTTTTGGTTTCGTCTTTGACTTCAAATTTGATCGTTCTCAATTGTCAGCCTGTCAAATTTAATATCTCTAATAATTTGGCTATTGTTTTAAAATTCACAAAAATTGTTAATATTAATGTTATAATATAGGAATTTTGGGATTGCTGAATTAAAATCTGCCGTCATAAATTTCTGACCCTTATCTATCAGATATCATGATTAGTTAACATTGTTGTCAGCCTCATGAAAATAATCTTTATAGAAGAAATGTACACTGTTATATAATTTAGTGTTTGGATTTGGCAAAACATCTTTCTAATTATTGATGATTGTTGTCACAAGACTTCTGATTTTGAGACAGTTACCTATTTCACTGTTTCTGATATAAGACTCTCAAAATTAATAATGAACACACAGTATTCATGACTTCATGATGATTATGATTCCTTCAAATGTTTTTAATAAAAGACTTACAAGTCAACTAAGATGTTAAAAAAGAAGTCATTTAAATTGCCTGTTTAAGAAATTATCCAGCCTATATGCAGCATTTAAGGTGTCTTCGATACCTTGTCATCACACATCATGTGGTTCAGTGCTAAATGTTGTGATCCCCATTTACAATGACAAATTTTTGTCTCGAGAGGAGCACTGGTGAATTTCTTGTACTTTCCTGAACCGTGTACATCAGGCATGTTCAGGTCACGGGCAAGGTAACAAGCTTACTAAAGCTTGTGGGCACTGCGTCCAGAGAAATTGGCGCAAGAATTAAAAGTAAGGGATGAACAAATTCCTCCAGAGTGGCAGTATGTCACTGGATACCTGGCCCACGATAGTCTTTGTGAGAAGTTACTTGACAGTTATTGTCACAAATTAAGCTATATTAATTTCTATTTTCTCTTTAAGGCAAAGAAATGATCCATTAAAATCAAATAATACATCGGTCCAATTTGAAATTCTCAGTCAAGAGTAAAGTTTAAAAAAATTGATTCAAAAGAGTCTTGGTTTCGTCATTCTGTTTACTTAAGAATGATATAAAAACATGTACTTTCTACGTGCAGGTTAGAGTGTTTTAACAAAGCAATGTCCTTGTCTGATAAAAGCACTGTCAGTCCATAAGTGAGATTTGTTAACGTATAAGAGACTTGTTCATTTATTTCACATTGTTGCTAAATACAATAAATACCTGAATGACGTAATAACACAATACAAAATGAGAAAAAGGAAAGAATTCACCATTCAAACATATTCCTGTCTCATACAAAGATATTTATATAAGGAATAATTTTTACAGAAAATAAGCATCGAATAGTAATAAGTAGTGAAGAATATAAATATAATACAATTCTCAGTTATTTGATAGAAAAATGTGGCATTGATATTTTCATGTGAAGTCACTATTCACTGTCTTCTGCTGGTTCAGCTTGTGCATGTATGCTTCTTTTTGGAATTTAAGGGGAAAAGAGTGCTGAGTCAGCAGAAGTTACCTGTGCCTGTTGGAGCGACAGCTAGTTTTATGGTGCTGCCAAAATAGTTAACTTACAGTTGGACCTATTTGTCATTTCCTATTAGTCAACTGTACATAACAGTTGAATTCTTCTGTAAAATTCAGTAAAGAATTATACTAGCATTGTGAAAATTTTACCCAATAATTTGGTTCTACAGTCAGCTTCCGAACCTTGCAGGTTCTAGCTACAGGATTAAGTGGACTTTATTCTCGGCTTCCAAGGAAACTTCCTGTGCAGACAGATGATTGGCATCGATTAACTCCCGATGATGTTAAAGATATTGAAGAACTTGCAACCTTTATGAATTCATTGGAATTTTGCAATGCAGTGGCTCAAGTTGCACATCCAGAAGTTCGCCACCAGTTGTTAGATTTCCTTACACAGGGCTTTCTAGTACCAGTATTGGGACCAGCACTTCTGCAGGTATGCTTCAATATTTAGTCATTATAATATAATTATTTTGCAAATGTATTTTAATTATTCAGTTTATTTCAGGATTACATTTTATTTTGCTTTTCACTTTCTAATTCTTTCATTGAAATTTTATGTTCTGTATAAAGATGGTTGATGGTTGTTCTGCATAAAGAAGTTGGCTAGGTTTGCTATTATTCTGCACCTTGTTCCGTAATTTTCACAAAATATTTGTGGAAGTAGTGTCTTTTGCATCTTTGAAATTCGGGTGGAAATATTTTCTGGAATTCTGAGAAGAGACTGGTTTAAATTAGTCCAATGTGTTTTGGACTAATTTAAACCAATTTGTCCAATGTGTAAAATGGGGGATTAGTATGATTTTTCACTACAGATTTTCATAATTGTAGGTGCATTGTAAGGAAAAGACAAATACGGCAATGCTGAACGTTTTTCTTCAGGGAAGGGTTCTGTGTGAATAGGTTGTGAACAAATGTAATCTAAGACACAATTGTCAACTGCTAGACACATTGATGTTGATGAGTTGTCACACATTAATGTGCCACACACTTTACTGGATTCTTCTTCTATTTAATGGCAAAAATTCCACAAGTGAGAGTAGTATGTAACATTGAACAACATTTAGTATCTGTTCAGATCCTAAAAAAGTAGGGAATTTTAGTAGGTTTAAGATATTGTAAAGGAAGAACAAAATCTTGAACAGAATCATATCATTTTCGTATATTTAGAAATTGAGAAAGAAAATTGGGAACAGTATCTGTTGTGAGAACAGTTAATCCTGCATTCAGATTATGAGAGTACACACTACCCACAAAGAAGCATATGCTGCCTCAACAGCATTCAGAAATGGTTCAAACAAATGGAGGGAGGTGTCTTGAAGAAATTTCATTCTGAACAACAAAATTCAAAATACATAAGTGTGCTTAAATACCTTTCTAAATGTTCAATTATTCATAATCATAATTTAATAATAATAATAATAATAATGTACACAGTGTACATAGTATAAATTTCAAGCTTTTTTTGATTGTGCGTTCTACCTTGTAACTTGTGAGCTGACAAGCTCTTCTCAAAGGTTGAGCTTTAATGAATATTTGATAATTCTAAAATCCTCTTTTCACAATACATGCATTGGGAGAAAAAGATATATTGAGGAACACAAGTGGTAGTTACACATTTGAAATTATTCAAGGGTATTGAAAGATGTTGGGACAGAATTAATTTTTTAAATAAAAAATTTTAGGAATTTGACGTTTTATGCAAGTTTAAATCATTAGTTCCACGCTTTCTGGGTTAGGCAGAATAATAACTGTTGTTTGCAATACACCAATACTACATTGTTATACACTAGAAACCATGTATTAAAATTAAATTTTCATGATTTGTAATAACATTAAAAAGAGAATGTGTGTGTGTGTTAGAATGTTAAACATAGGGAAGTGGAACTTTTAAGTTAGAGGAAATAACAAAAAGTATTCTTTTAAATTTTATTTATTTATAAACACCTGAAAACACCCACAATTAATGCATTAAGATATCTCAAATCTATGTTCTGAAACAAAACGAATGTATTAATGAAAACTCTTTGAAAAATTGTTAATACTTATATTCTCCCAAAATGGGAAGATTTATCTTCGAAAAAATGGATGCCAATAAACTTAAATTTTTCAATATTTGACTTGAATGTACTTGGCAAATAAAATATCTATTCATTGTGAGTGACAATGAAAATAAATTTATATGGGAAATTATATGTTTCAGGAGAGGAAGGTAAATATGTAAAAATGAACCAAAAATATTACATGAGGGTTCTGATACATCTCCACATTCGTTTGCTATTCCATTAAAGGATATTGATTATTGTAGTATTCGGAGGTATCTTTACCATGATGTGAAAAGGAATTTTGCTATTTCGCTGAAACTCCCTCATCTTTAGAATTTGTAATAATATTTTGCAATTGTAAATTTTGTCTGCAGATGGGAAATGAGTCGCTTTGTAGACTTTGTTTTGGTCTGTTGTGTTGAATTACTTAAATATTTTGAAAATGTCTCTTCAGCAAAGATATTTTTGTACCAGCATGTAGTTGTGCTAAATTATATGTAATTTGTTTTAATAAATCACCAAATCTTTGTATATCTTTCACAGAGTCAATAGTATTATTAGAAAGAAGTTAAATGATGAAAGATGGAGTACTTGGAGATGAACACTTGGAGACCTAATTAGGAACAGATTTTCTGAAGATAGTAAAACATAGATATTTAATGCTAGTTATAGTTGATGGAACAGAACATTTCAATTCTTTGAAATGTGAATATTTCACACAGTACGTCCATAAACATGCACACAATTATACAATGGTACCATAAAATATCATATGTGATACCTGCATATCATGAGAAAGGAGGAATAAATGTAGTATTTTCTTGCATTGATAGTTTATAACAGGCTGGCACTCAAAGTCCTTAAAGCTATATTTTAGC